GTACTGCAGCTCTGAACCCCTAAGCATCCATGATCTACCAACCTCAACCTCCTGGGCAGCTGGGACTGAAGGCAAACAATGAGAAAATGGAAGTGGAGCAGACCTGAATAGAACTCAAGGGTTAACCAATAGCATTAACTTTCCCCAAATCTGATTAGCGTAACTCTTAACCAACAGAAGCTAGTGCATTCCCAAACTCTGATTAGCATAAATTGGGACCAACAGCATTGACCCAAGTGCTATATAAACCCTGAGACTAGCACTCTCAAGCTGCAACCTCTACCAGGTCCTGCTGCCCGTGGGAGCTGTGCATCTATTCACACTTGATAAATTCTACTTTTACACTCCTCTGCATCAATGGGTCTTTGGATTTCATTCTTTGAATTCACAAGACAAGAACCCAGACAGAAGAAATTGGCAGCAAGCTACTGGGGTCTGCTGCAACACTGAAGGGCATAGCGTGTCATTGAGAGTTGCACCATGTTGCTCAATGGTAGGAGAAGAAACAGCCTTTCATGGCTGTAGATGCTTTCAGCTTATGCGGACCCCACCCTCGAGGAGAAGCAGAGAAACTCTGGTTTCACTGTGATTGATAAGGTCTGTCAGGGGCTGCTCCTAGGTAGAGGAGAGGTCGCGCCCATAAACATGAGTCTTGTCAAAAGGACAATTCCCCAAGGAAGATCAGAATGTTGCCATCAAAAGGAACAGAAACAATGTAGGACAGGTAAAGATAACTGTTCCTAACATCTGCCACATAACAGCACAATTGGTGGCCATGGTCTGTTTTCAAAGCCTACATCTGCCTCTCTATAGTTATGACCCTTGGGCAAGTTATGACCCTAACTCTGCCTCACCTGTAAGTAGGGATAGCAACTTGTTCATAGGGCTCATGGGGATGTTACAAGCATTAAATGAGCTATTAACACAGGTAAAGTATTTACATCGGCTATTTTTTTCTATTGTAAACAGCATTGCTAAAGAACAAAATATTTAATTAATAAAATTACTTTCTGTTAGAGTCTGTAAACAAGTCAAAATAACACCTGGCATTTTGCCAGGGGAATGTTAGAGTTCGTAAACAAGTCTGGATGGTGCCTGGCAAAATGCCAGAGGGAGTGGTTTGAGAAGTAACAAAAGCGAGCCATTAAGTGTGGAGATTCCTGATTGGTTGACTGATGTATCTAGTTTATGCTAATTAGATAAGCTGTGTGGAATGTATAAATACTGCTCCTGTCCTGCAATAAACGGCTCCTACTCCTGCTGTATCAACGTACACAAGTTATTCGTCACCCCCCGGTTATTTTGCTGCAACCGTACTCCGGCAACTTTCTACTTCCCTAGAATGAATCTTTCTTTCTTCCTTTTTTTTTTTCACTGCTAGGTGCGGAACCCAGGGCCTTAGCACATGCTAGGCAAATGTTACCACTGAACCGCAACTCCAGTCCTAGAATTCATTCCTGTAAACAGAATGGTCTGCTGTGGTCAAACTCTTTTTTCTTGACAGACTGCTCTCTGCAGTACTGAGCCAATTAATACCGTACCAGGCAAATGCCTTGTATTGGAATATTCTAAGAAGAGAAACACATTTTTTTTTAATTTTTTAGATGTTAATCAATCTTTGGTTTTTTTCATTTATTTATATGCGGTGCTGAGAATTGAACCCAGGGCCTCACACATATGAGGTAAGTACTCTACCACTGAGCTACAACCCCAGCTCCCCCCACCCCCTCAGAAACCTTTAAGGGGAAAACAGTCACCTGAGCACACACCTGTCAGTGGGAGGGCTGTGTGGGACAGGACGGGTTGAACAGCTCACAAACCACCTCCTTCCTCATCCCTGTCCTGTCATGATTTTCTGGGGCTGTTTACCTTGTCTTGAGACTTATGCCCACTGCTGTCTCCTCAGGGTATAAGGCAACAACTGTGCTCCGGAGTCACCAAAATTCCCCCCAATTCCTGAGATTTTCTTACATTAAGCAACATACATATCCTTCCTCTTTTTTTTACCAACCTCCACCCAGACACTCAACTACCAGAGACTATTGTAAGTCCACCAGGGGCCTGTGCTTGAGAGAAATGGAGTTTTATTACACAGCCAAGTCTTCAGTCATTTCCTTTTCTTTTTCAAACAGTTATTACCATAATTTTCTGCTGCCCTGGTGATGCTCAAGTTATTTTCTTTTTAAGTTTTTCAGCAATAAGATTTAAAGAAACAGTGATTGGTATAGGAAGGTGATGAGCTGATGGGATCTAAGTAAGGTCTCAGTTCTCAAACTGCAAGCAATTTTGCTTGGGAGGCAGAATTAATGCTCTTGGCATATGCAAGGCCAAGTTAAAGACATCATCTCTCAGGGCAATAGGTCTTGAGGAACTAGTACAGCAGTGGGAAGTACTACCTTTGAAATTCCCATCTTCTCACCCTGACACTTTGGAGTTGTTAAGAGAGAATGGAGGACTTCCTAATTGTTCATAGTCTGGGTCCAGCAACCTACAAGGATCCTAGGATGAGACTCTAAAGGGTGAGTGTTGTAGTCTTTCTACCTGCTAGGCTCTTGGAAGCTGCAGGCCACTGAGCAAGGGATGGGGAGGGGAGTTATGCTGCTAAATATATCCTGAGGCAACAGGGAGAAAGGATCTGTCTAGGGTATTTCTTCTGGGTCTCTCTGGCCTTGTCTGGTCTTCCTAACCTACAGTTTCCTATCAAGAGCCAGGGCCAGTTTGTGGGAATAAGCAATATACACTAAACATATCTGATTGGCCTGAAGTCCACAATTTCTTCCCCCTGGAGATGCATGCCCATTATACAGGGTGCTAGACTCTTGCTAAGAGTCACAATCTGCTGTCTGTGATCCAGGGCTGGATGCATAAGGAGGGTGCTGCCCTTGCTCTCCAATAAATGCTGAGGGCGCACCTCCTGGGACTAGGTGAAGTTTGGGTCATTTAGGAGGCTCCTCCTCTTTGGCAGATGCCTCAGTGGTCAACCTCTGCATCCTGGAGGAATGCATCCTGGGTCATTGCATTCAAATTTTGGTGGATGGTAGTTTGGTGGCTAGAAATTCCCCTCAAGGCATGGGATGGATCTGCTGAGGACAGGGTTGAAGAGACTGCAAAGCTAAGAGGGTGGGAGACTTCTTTTAATACCCTTGGGGCCAACAAAGGCATTCAGGGTTACAATTTCATCTTTACCTCTTAAAGAGCAGGACTTTCTAAAGTAAAGCATTTTTGGGGTACCCTAGCACATCCAGGATGGATGTTCAAGAGGCCACAGTAAATGGTATTTAAAGGACCTATTCATGAAAAAAATGCTTGGGGGAAAAAAAAGCAGAAGATGGGGAGATTTTGAAGAAAATGCTTCTGAAAAAAAAATGCTAAAGAAGTTAGCCCCTGAAAAGAAGCCCCAAAAGATAGTTCTAAGAAGGTACTTGGAAAAAGTCTGAAGATTCCTCAGAAAGTCTAAAGACTACTCTGAAAAGTAACTTGAAGATGGCTCCAAAAATAATACTGAAAAATTATCCTGAAAACAGGGAGAAGAAAATGGCTTGGAAAGATCATTATCTGAAGATGATGAATGTTCAGTGAGGAAAGCCCTGAAGAGAGTGTGAAGACTCAGAAGAGAAGGTGTATCTGGAAAAGTATCTGCTAGAAAATGCAGCTGGAAAAGGGTCTGAAGATGCTGCTGAAGAGGGGGAGGGACGCAGGTGAGGAGCAAGATGAAGACGCAGAGGACAGGAGGACCAAGATGGTAACTCCAGCAGGAAGCTGTCTGAGCAGTCCAATGAGGGTGGCTAAGAGTGGCTTTGGGAAGGTTAAGGAAGAAGGGCCCCTGGGCACAGGCTCTTTGTTCAGTAGTGACAACAGGGGGAAGGAATGATGATGACGATGAATATGTGATCCCTTAAACTTGCATTCAGAGAGATTCCTCCATCTACCTGTTCCTGTGCTTCAGGATAATTAGCAGTGGTGTCACGGGACCATGTGCATAGCGGCAGAATGCCGTTCAGCTAATGCTTTGAAATTTTCACTGTAACCAGCACATAATGGCTCCAAGTACATGCTAACCAGCTGTTCAATTAAAACTTCATAGTAATAATGCAAGTGAAAAGAAAATAGGGGAGATATATCCCAATAAAGAACTAAAACATTAGCTACGAATGGATTAAGCTTCCTGGGGAAAAAGCAAAAATTCTCTAGTTGAGTTATGCCAGCTGAGTTATGAAACAAAAACAAACAGAAAAATACAAATCAAGTTTCATGTCCAGAGAACTATCTGAAAATTAAAATTATCATGAAGGTTGAACATAGCAAGATAGATATTAAACACACATTAAAGAAATGAAAGCTTAAGAAAATAATTTCCAGTCAGCAGAATTCAATACAGTAAACTGATGATTGCAATATCTGATCTGGCTGCGTGATAGTAGGAGCAAATGTGACTCCATTTTGTTTTATGACTTCATCCTGTAAAACAACCATGCCAAGTAGAAGAGTCATGACTGGGGCAAGATGTTCTTTTCCTTTTGCTATAGAAACCTTTAAGAACACAAAACTACCTTATGGGGTATTGTTTCTTTAACTAGGGTAACGGGGCTCTGTTTCTGTAACTGGGGTGACTGGGCTAACTGTGATTGGTTAGGCTTCCCTCCGCTTGACTGCACTGTCCCGCTTCTATAACCTGGCTTGCTTGTATTGGCTAGACCCCCTGAACATCCCTTTTGCGGTTTTCAAGCTTATAAGGAGTGCCCTTGCAATTGTTCAGGGCTGATCAGGGGAACAGCTTTATGTTCTGGTTAGTCGCCACCAGTGTGCTACAATAAAGGCTTGATTCGATTATACATGAGTGGTCTGGAAGTCAGTTTATGAAACCCTGGGACGAAGCTTTAACTATAACAGCTGTATAAAACTCTTGAGATCACTCATTCATAGTGACTTCATAGTGATTATTAACTCTATCCAGTTCACTTTGTTCTAATTTTATTTATTTTTTTAAAGAAAGAGAGAGAGAATTTTTCAATATTTATTTTTTAGTTCTCAGCGGACACAACATCTTTATTTTATTTTTATGTGGTGCTGAGGATCGAACCCAGCACCCTGTGCATGCCAGGCGAGCGTGCTACTGCTTGAGCCACATCCCCAGCCCCTAATTTTATTTTTGACAGTACCATCTCCTTGCATGTATTCTTAACTGCATCACGCACACGATGTACATGGGACACACAGTGTTATTCCCCAAAGTACCAAGGGGGTGTGCAGCGGATGGGCTCTTCCTCCCAGATGCTCTTTAATCGTTGGGCCCAAGATGCCACCATTGCTTTTCTTTCTTCTTCTGATGAAAACTCAGGAGCAAAACTGATCTGAGGGGCAAGAATTTTAAATCCACAGAAGTGCAAAGCGCCATGCTGAAGACATAAAGAAAAGAACTGATCAGAAACCACATCCTTGATGTATGATTCAGTGAAATGATCAAAGGGAGAATGACAAAAAATAAACCTTCAAAAAATAAAACAGCTCCAAAGCGCCGAGGTCTGGAAACCTGGACTTCCTTTTCACCTCAGGATGTGGGGAATAAATGGGCAGAAGAGCACGGAGCAACCAGCATTTACAGATTTTCACCTGCAATTATTACTGCTGTTTCCAGCCCTAAATGTCACTGTTTTGATTGACAAGACAAATTATGGTACCTTCATAGGATGGATCATTCTAGACTAAGGTTTTCCTAGATATAGTATGTCACTATAGTTGAAGTTATTTGTTAAATGAAAACTACAAATTTTAAGCATTACTTGTTGTATGCCATTTATATAAAAGAGCAATAAACATAACTAACCTATTAATAAAAGTTATGTGTACAAGAATATATATGGGTCTTAAGAAAATAAACCAAGTGATTAAAAGTGATGATTTTGTGGGGTTATAGATTGAGGGGACTTTTTATTATTACTTTTTTACATTATCTCCCTTTGTCCTGTAACATGTATTTTTGCAAACTGAAAAAAAAGTAGAGATTTTTTTTTTTTAAAAAAGAAAGAATGTAAGTGGGCCTGTGAAGAAGGAAGCTCAGACTTGTTAACTGTCCTCTCGTACTTCAGCGGAGTGTCACTAGTTGGAATCACTATTCTTTCTCCTTTCAAAAAGGATCACTTGTTTTCTTAGAAATCTCACACTCAGTCCTGTGCACTGCTTTCTTTAAAACCCACATCCTGGTCCAGGCCTGCCCCAATCAGGGGGGTAGGTGGAGTGGGAGAGGCTCACACACCTCTTACTACAGTATTTTTTCTCACACAACATTATTTCCAGAAGTCAGCTTTTCAGAAGCACCATTATGATCAACAGAAGAAATCAGAAATGGTCTGGGTGAAAAAGTAGTACTTGGAAATCAACGGCCTCCATAAATACAGAACTAAGTTTTAGAAGACACAGTGAAAAAGTTGACAAAATCAGCAACAAAGGAAAGGAATTCACTTAAAAATAAATGTGAACTACCTGGAAGGAAGGTTTTCATGGTTTGAAAAGACACACAGTAGGATTAATTTTGCTAACATCTAGAATGCTGATAAATCAATTAAAAAAAAAAACAGACCCGTGGGCAAAGCATGTTCACAGAAAAAAGGCAATTCCTACTTCTTCTTTTGATTTTCTTTCTTTCCTTTTTTTTGTGGTGCTGAGAATCAAAGCCAGCACCTCATGCATGCTAAGTGTGTGCTCTACCATTGAGCTATACTCTCTACTGCCACAACATCTATATCTTTTACAACAAGCTCACAGGCTGTGCTCTTCTCTATATATGCTCTCCTCTGATAGAAATCTCTCATGACAGCCTGGAAGCTTCAGGTCTCCTCAGAGTCCCTCACCTAGAGTGTGCTTCTCTGCATCCTTGCCCCCTGCTCTGTCCTTCACTGGGGAGCACTTTGCACATGGACAACCGAGACTGCTAGAACTCACTCTGCCTACTGCCTTCCCCTTGGCAGATGCCCACTCCTTGGCTACTCATCAGGCCCAGGGTGTTCTCACAGGCATCAAGAGTCCACCTTGGAGAGCAGGTCAGAGTGGGGAAGCTCAGAGTCTCGGGTACCTGGAGTGTGGGCTATCTCCACGGGGAGCTCAGCCAGCAGAGGCTCCTGAGAGGCTACATGGAACACAGGGCCAGGGGCACCTCTCGCCAGGGCTGAGGGTCTGCATGAAAGGCTCTCTTGGGCCTCCCACATGCTCATCACACAAACACACACACACACACACCTGGAACTACCTCAGAGCCATTCTAGTCTCCACAAAGCAGACAACAAGCTAACCAGGTTTGGCTTAGCTTTGGGCCAAATCTCAGAGGCTACAATTACAGTACATATTCCCTATTGATCAGCCTTTTCAATGCTCCCAAGTCAGAATTCAAAAGGGCAAAATGTTACCGTCTGTATCCAAATACAGTGAGAATGGTGTGGGGTGGCAGGCTCACATCACATGTCATTTCACACCTTGGAGAGGTGGGGATGTACAACAGGCTAGCATGGCATGGAAGCCTTTTGTCATCTGTTTACCTGGAGTGGCCACAGAAAGTACCGAACATCTCCACTGACCCCTGCTTTTGAGTACATCTCGGCTGTGCCTCCCGTGGTTAAGGAAAGGAGGGCTAGTTTATCCTGCAGGAGAGAGAGCAAATGCATTTAATGTGGATGCCAGAAGAGGATGTGAGTGCTACTGTGATGCTGGCAAAAAGGTTTACAATGACCAGGGGAAAATAGGGGGTCACTCACATCTCCCACAGGCCCATCCACAGGTGACAGCTATATCCCAACAGGAGGCAGAATGAAACAAAGGGACCAAGTGAACGCAAAAGCTCTAACATGCCCAGACTTCCAGCAGAAGCCAGCTTCCAGAGACACCATGTAAGTGGTCACTACTTAGGTGCTGTCTACAGAGCTGAGGAGGAGTGGAGCCCAGCACTCAGTGGCCACTCAGTAAATGACGGTGTCACTTGTGGTCCAAGACAGATCTTGTTTATGAGATTTGCTTTCCTCACATACACTCATTTTCTGAGGCTTTCAGAATTTGAGTCACTAATTTTAGCAGGAAATTCTTTTAGTAAGAAATTCATAGCTGCTAACATTGTGCATCTACCAGATTCCATGCATTTCTCACTGTACAGTGTGGGTGTTGCCTTATCTTGTTTCATCAGGCCCACATGTGAAGTTCAGAGGGATGAACTCATAAGGCCAGGGATGGTCTCTCCATCATGGAGTAGATGACCTCTGGAGCCAGGGCTGACCACTTTTCTGCCCATATTAACTTGCCCACTTCATCCCTAGCCCAATACTCAGCCCCCACATCCACTAGACAGAAAGATCCACAAGTTCAGAAATGATGGTTTTCCTCATCTGTGTCCAGTACTCAATGCTGTGCACATAGCAGATGCTCAATCAGCACTTACTTAAAAAAACAAACAAACAAAAAAAAACAGCAGCAAACTATAACTTGATAGCTGCCTCATCCTTCCTCCCACTCTAATAGTCCAGGGATCCTTGTCCCTAGAGCACATACCTTGAGAAAACCAGAATCATAGAACCCTGGGATGTCGAAGGCGAACCCTTGGCACAGCACCCTGTCCATCCAGCCCTTCAGGATAGCCGGCACGCTGAACCAGTACAGCGGAAACTGGGGACAGCATATAAGGAAGAAGAAATACTGTGGCTTGTCTCAGGATTCATAAGTTAGTCTGTTTGGTGATACAGAACAAATTCCACTCTCCTCCTCCCTGGTGGCTGGGTGGATAAGGGTAATAAACATGGCCAGCTCTGAGGTGTGGTGATAGTGGGAAGGGGCGTAGTTGAAAAATGGTCCTGCTGCTATTATGTTGGCTCTGCACCCCGCTGATGCTGATCCCCATGCACAGGGAAGAGATGAAAACTTGACACTGGCTTTGGGGCAGCAGTCCTGTGACTGAGCCAATCAACGACTGAGAAGAAGATGCTGTGGAAAGATCATACAGTTCCCACACCTGGGGTGAGTTGTTAAAATCTGGGTGTCAACTGGGACTAATCAGATCCCTTGCTTGGAAATTCTGGATCTAGGGAATCAAGGCCTTGGCATGCAGCAAGAGAAACAGAACCAGGGGCTGAGGTTGTGACTGAGCAGTAGAGTGCTTGCCTAGCATGTGCGAGGAGCTGGGTTTGATGCTCAGCACCACATAAAAAATAAGTAAATAAAATAAAGGTATTGTGTCCAACTACAATTAAAAAAAAAAAAAGAAAGTTAAAAAAAAGAGAGAGAGAGAGAGAGAAGAGAGCCAAGGTGCAGGGAGATGTGGATGGAATCTGGTGAAGAAGACATCAAAGATGTTCCAGCTTGGGTCCTGTGTCCCTGTAGCCCAGCCACAGCTCTGTGCTGCTTGTCTAGGAGACTCAAGTGACCAAAGCCCTTGGTATGAACTCCCCTTTCTTTCCAGTTTGACTTGGATTTCTGTTAACCCACAAATTACTCTAAACACATGTGTTTACTTGACTGCTTCTTCTGTAGTGGCAGAAAGGAACCTATATTGTCCTTGGGTCAAATACAGGTAAAGTGGCTGGTGTGTGTGTGTGTGTGTGTGTGTGTGTGTGTGTGTGTTTCAAGTATTGAGAAGATGGAAACAAAAGTTTTTCCCCGTAGTAATCAGGCCTTTGACTGATATTACCTTGATAAACATTTGAGGCCTTGGACCCACATCCTTGATAAACAGTTGGGTAGAGAAAACTGGCTTTCAAGTGGCCCAGCATGTACAGAGTGGGGACTTAAAGAAAATGAACGCAACAAGACCTGCATGATTCTACTGTTTGTGGACCACTGGGCTAACAAAAAAATTCACTCCTGTTTACACAGGAGGTCAGAACTCTATAATGGCTGCGTGAATCTCTCTACTAAACTAAGTAAAGTGTTGTAACTAGGTAAGTGTTACAACTAAGTGTTGTAACTAAGTACTGTGGTACAACACTCACCCAGTAAGTGTGTGAAAGTGTGCTAAGAAAACACTGTTGCCACTTCTAGGAGTGTAGAATGTAGTATTTGCAGAGTCTTATGTAGGACGAATCTCATTCAATACATTAATTAAAGGAAAAACAAACCTGGAATATCACGAGATCAGCTTCCTGCACCTTTTTCTGCTCCTCAGTGATGTCACTGGTTAGACAGTTTTTCTTGTAGGCTTCATAGGCTTCCACCGCATAACTGAAGACCTCAGGATTAGAAAGGTCACCTGAGGAAAGAGCCAAGTGCTCTCACTTCCAGGTGAGAGGTCACAGCCTGTCCCAACAATTTCACTAATGCTGTGTGCGTCTGGACTCCTCAAAGTGAGTCAATGACATTTGCTGTGACCCAACCCAGTTAGGGTATGAGAAGGAACCTACCAGGGCCACTCAGTGAGCATTTCCCACCCACCAGATGCTGTGCTGTGTACCCATCACCCTTCTTATGCTCCTAACAACTGATGACATCATACTAGTTCTCTACCAGTGAGAAAGTGAACTTTACAGAGCTTAGTAGTTTGTTTGGTGACACCCGATTCCTAAGTAGCAGAGGCAGGCACAGAGGTGGGATGACTAGAGGAGCAAGTGTGACTTCCTCCACTGTTCCATGTGCAAACCTGAAGTCACTTTGAGAAAAGCCACAAAGGGAAGTGAACTAGCCATCAATTTGTAATTTAAAAAAAAAAAAAAAGAATGTTCTTTGTTTCCTCTTTTAACCTATTTGTATTTGATTTTCATTCAAAGAATACACACCCAGTGCTTCTAGGTATAAATCTTGTCTTTTCAAGAAAACCAAAGAGAGTGACTATTGTAGGCCAGAGGCTGTGTGGCACCAGGGAGGTAATTAGATGGGGTCATAGCTGCCATATTACATCAAGCCTGAGACCCCTCTGGGCCCTTTATACCTATAGTTGTCCCTCAGTATCCACAGGCATTTGGTTCCAGGACTTTCCAGGTCATCAAAATCCATGGAAGCCCAAGTCCCTTACATAAAATTGTGTAGGATTTGCATAGAACCTACAAACATCCTCTTGTAGACTTTAAATCATCTCTAGATAACTTCTAATATCTCACGCAAGGTAAATCTGTGTAGGCAGTTGTTATATTGTATTGTTTACAGAATAATGACAAGAAAAAATGTTTTTACATTCACTACAAGTGCAATTTTTCCTAGATATTTTCTTTTTTCCATCCTTCCTTCCTTTTATTTTTTTAAGTTTTTTTTTAGTTGTTGACAGACCTTTATTTTATTTATTTTTATGCAGGGCTGAGAATCAAACCCAGTGCCTCATACATGCCGGGCAAGTGCGCTTCCGCTGAGCCCAGCCCCAACCTCCCTTTTATTATTTTTTTTTTATAGCATCCTTTTTAAGCTTTTTATTTAATTAATTTATTTATTTTTATGTGGCGCTGAGGATCAAACTTAGTGCCTCATACGTGCCAGGCAAGCATTCTACCACTAAGCCACAATTCCAGCCCTTCCTTCCTTTTAAATTGGCACTGGGGATTGAACCCAGGGGTGTTTAACCACTAAGCTACATTCCAAACCTTTTTAATTTTTTATTTTGAGACAGAGCTTTGCTAAGTTGCTGAGGCTGGTCTTGAACTTGTGATCCTCCTGCTTCAGCCTCCTAAGCTGCTGGGATTACAAATGTATGCCACTACGCCCAGCTCCAAATATTTTCAGGGTTAGTTGAATCTGTGGATGAGAAATCCACAGATACAGAAGGTTCACTATATATCTACAGAGTTTCAAAATTACACATGGTATGTACTTTTGTTAATATCTAGAATAAGATCTACAAATAACCCACTCCAGAAGGTTAAGTATGCTTGCCTCAGGGCTGTGGTGCAGACCTGGAGGATATGTGAAAGGGGCTTGCACTTTTTAGCCTTTGGTTGCCTATATTTTAAAATACTTTTTACAGTAAGCAGGCATGATGGCTTATACCTTTAACCTCAGCAATTTGGGAGGCTGAGGCAGGGGATCTCAAGTTTGAAGCCAGCCTCAGCAACTTAGCAAGACCCTTTTTCAAAATGAAAACCAGAAAGGGCTTGGAATGTAGCTCAGTTGTAAAGCACTCCTGGATTCAACCCCCAATTTACCCCCCAAAATAGACATTGAATTTGAGTTGGCTTTTTCACTTAAAAATTAGTGGCAAGCTGGGTGTGGAGGCTCACGCCTGTAATCCCGGCAGTTCAGAAGGCTGAGGCAGGAGGACCACAAGTTCAAGACCAGCCTCAGCAACTTAGCCAGGTCCTAAGCAACTTAGCAAGAACCTGTCTCAAATAGAACATAAAAAGGGCTAGGGATGCAGCTCAGGGGTTATAAATGCTCCTGGGTTCAATCCCTGGTACAGATTTTAAAAAACAAAACAAACAACACCCCCCCACCCCCACCCCCCCCAAAAAAAAATCCAGTGGCAAACAAACCAGTAGCTCCTTATCCCACTGTTCTCTATTTTTCTAGAGAAATAGAAAAATTTGTTGCTGTTTGCTAAGAGAAAATACTTTATGATGATGATAATGATTTTGCAGTGCTAAGAGTCAAACCCAGAACTTTATGCATGCAAGGCAAACCCCAGCCCCAGGTGATTTATTACAAAAAAAAAAAAAAAAAAGAAAGCCAAAAAACACACAGGATGAGTACTGAATATTGTATCTGGAGATGTAGTTAACAGAACTACAAAGAAATCTGAGATTTTAAATACTGTAAAAGAGGAGGTACAACTGTCATTATTTGTAGATGATTTGGCTGCATGTCTGGAAAGTCCCAAAGAATCACCTGAAAAGTATTACAAACAAGAAGGAAACTAGGAGTGGGCTGCACACACACACTCCTCTTCACATCAAAAAGCTACTGTCGGTTGGTAAGAATTAAATAAGAACTGTATGATGAAAATATACAAATACACCCATTATAAAATTAGACCTGATGGAAGGTTACACCATTCTCTTAGAGAAAATCAACATGAAAGGTCAGTTCATCCCAAGTTCATCTACACATTTAATGGGACCTGGATGAAAATACCATCAGGCTTCTTTTTGAATCTAGATGGCTGATTCAAAAGCTTTCATGGAGGGTTGAGGATGTGGCTCAAGCGGTAGCGCACTTGCCTGCATGCGTGTGGCCTGGGTTCGATCTTCAGCACCACATACAAAAAAGGTGTTGTGTTCGTCAAAAACTAAAAAATAAATATTACAAAAAAGCTTTTATGGAAAGGTAAAGTAAAATAGTTAGGAAAATTAGAAAATAAGATAAATGTAAGTGACCTATTCTAGCTGATATTAAATTGTATTATTTGCCAAAATAATTTAAACCATGTGGATGTGGGAAAAAAAAATAGGAGTAGAACTAATAAACTGGAATGTAGTTAGTTGAAAAGTGCTTGCCTAATCCCCAGAACCACAATAAATAAAAATAAAAGATATTAAAACAAGTAGAATAGAATTTAAGAAGTGGGAATTTGGATCACAATGAAGGTGGCATTTAAATCAAGGGCAAATAGCTGAATCATGCAGTAAGTGGTAATATGACAACTAGGTAGGCATTGGAGAAGAAATTGGGCCCATATTTCAAATCATATGCCAAAATAAATTTGAAATATATGAAATACTTAAAATTAGAAGTAGCACCTATAGAATATTAGAAAAAAACATAAAACACTTTTTCTTACAAGCTTGGAGTTCATGTAAATATAACAAATTCCTGAAGTCATAAATGAAAAAGACTGATCAAATATTAACTAAATGAAAGTAAATGGAAGCTAAAGGAAAAAGTCACCATAAGCAAAGTCAAATAAACAAAAACAAAAACAAATTAGGTAAAAGTATTTTCGGGCTTGGGTTGTGGCTTAGTGGTAGAGTGCTTGCTTAGCAGTGTGAGGCACTAGGTTTGATTTTTAGCACAGCATATAAATAAGTAAATAAATAAAGGTCCATCAAAAACTAAAAAAAGATTATTTAAAAAAAGGATTTACAATTCATATTCCATACTATAGGTTTTTTAATATATAAGAACTTTTTAAAATCAATAATAAAAAGACTAACAACTCAATAGAAAAATGAACAGATGATACGAATAGATAATTCACCGGAAAGAGAATATTTAATATTTTATTAAATGTTAGTTAAAAATAAAAATAAAATGTTAATACAAATAAGCATTAATAAATAGAATATAAATATTAAGATATTAAACCTCACAATGAGAGGACAAATTAGAACTATTTGGAACACTATCTTTTCACCTGCTAGACTGGCAATTATAAAAAAAAAAAAATGGCAATACTATTGGTGACAGTGAGGAAATAACATTTGTAAACATTGCTGACAATAGTGTAAACTGGTATGAGATTTATGGAGAGCAACTTGGCATTATCTAGGAAAATTAAAATGCACACTCTTCTAGACGAACTTGCATATGTGGGAAAACACATATGACTCTGACTGTTCACTGCAACATTGTTTTTGATAGCAAAAGATCAGAAACAACCTAAAATGTCCTTTAGTAGGGAGATACCATGACATGGCCATACAACAGAATACTTTCTACAATAAGAAAAATAAAAGCAACTTGTAAAATGATGAGCATAATATGCTTCTGTTTTTGTAAAATGTAGAGGAAAAATGAAGAATACTCTCATGACTACTTATATAGCAAGGACTATCTCAGAAAGGACACAGAGAAAACTGCATCCTGACTACCTTGGGAACAGAGAAACTGGGTTGCTGGGGGATAGGAGGGAAAAGAGCCTGGCACTTTGGACTCCTTGCTGACCTGAGATTTACATATTTTGTGCAATGATTAGCTTTTTAAGACATGTTAAAATTAAAGAATACAAAGAAGAAAGTTAAAAAATAACCAAGCATTTATGCCGTGACTCACCAGTGATATCTTTCCTTGTGGCCCTTGGCTCAAAGTTCATGGCATACAAATCAGACACGGTGACGGTGCATCCCTGCTGGCTCAATTCATCCACTGCCACTTTCTTCAAGGAGCCATTGAAAGACTTGGGTTCTTGGTGTGCATAGACAATGAGCACTTTCTTACCTACATCAGGAGAAGGAACATTTCCTACTGAACAGCCATTCTCCTTTGTCAAAATCCCATGAAGACTAAGATGAAAATTATATGCTTAGACGCATCACTGCAGTTGAAGCTAAGCAATACCAATGATCTTACTGGATGACAGTTTTAAAATTAACATTTTAAAATTCAGTTATATCATAGTTCATCTTTACTTGAGTGTGCAAATATAGGTTGAGTATTCCTTATCTGAAATGCCAGAAGTATTTTTGAATTCATATTTTTCAAATTTTGGAATATTTGTGTAGACTTTCTAGGTAAAGCATCCATGATATGAAAATCCAAAATCAGAAATACTCTAAAATCTGAAATTTTGTGTTCAGAGAATTTTGGATTTTAGAGTATTTTAGAGTCATGAGCTGAAAAATGTTTTGGAGCTTTAGGGATGCTCAACCTGTACATACAAACACAGCAGGCCAAATTATGTCTTCTCAAAACGAAACTACAAAATTAAATCTTTAAAAGCCTGATATAATCTGGTTAGCTCTATGAGAAGTTTTAGCCTGACTCCCCAACACCAAAATAAAAAGCTATCAGAACTCATCTTTTGTGCCAACCCTACAGCTACGGCCCCTTTCAGGCTGGCACACTCTACTTCCATCTTCCAGGTTCATGGCAACTGGGCACTTAAACAAAACACGAGGAACTGTCCCCTTGTCCCTTGAGGAAGGCAGGACTAGGTGAAAGCCATATCTTGGTGGCAATGCTAAAGCAGAGAGGACTCTAAGAACAGATTTTATAGGCACTAGCTATATCACGAACAGCAGAGGCTTCTGAACACAGTATCGTCCACATTCATGAGAGTCTGTGGGATTATGTACTGAATTCTTCTAGAAGGTAACTTGGTGATTTGCTCTGGTAACATCTAAGACTAAAATGTTAAATGCTTGACTTCAATTTTGCAGTGTAGGATCTTGAAGAGAAACTACATATATTAGCTTGAAGCAGACAGTTTCAGGGTATTCAGTTGAATGTAAAAGGCTGAATTCCATGAATTAAGTAAATTATTAATCTTGGCTTTCTCCGACTCCAATGTTATAAAGGAATTCTACTTGGGGGCTTACCAGGAAAATAGGTGTGAATGAAATCCTGCACCAATGTTTTTCAACTAGGAGCAGTGTTGCCAGTCAGAGGATATTTCCCAATTCCAGAGCCATTTCTGATTGTCACAACTGGTGGGGGCAGGCAGAATCACTGGACTCTGCTAAACATTCTACAAGGCACAGGGATCTCCCCACAACAAAGGATTATGTGGCCCCAAACATCAGTAGTACCAAGTTCAAAACATCCAAATCTATAGTAGAATGTACAGAATAAAGTGAATACGTATATTCTAAAATGAAAGCATATCCATGTTATATTGTTGAGTGAAAAAAATAGTTGCAAAATTCACCGCATAGGTGTGCAGGTGTGTGTGCCTGCATGCATGATAAACAAACACAAAAGTACAGATGGGGCCGGGGGTGAGCTCAGTGGCAGAGATTCTGCTTACCATGCAGGAGGCCTTACATTTAATCTCCAGAACTGGGGGGGAAAAAAGGAAAGAAAAAGAACAAGGAACAAACAAATAAGTAAAAATGGAATTATTAAAAAAAAAAAGTAAAGAAATAATTTTAAAATTGGGACTTCAAGTGTAGTTTAAAATTGGGGCTCACTCACTCACTCACTGAATAACTATTTTTTGAGGACCTACTATGTCACAGGATGATTTCTGGAACTGGAGGCAGGGTAAAGACAAGGTAGGTATGGCCCCCATTCTTGAGGAACTTGCCTTGGGGGAGGGGCGGGGGGGTTTAAAAACGGACAAGAAAACTAAAAAAATTCAAAACAAGATAATTCCAGAGAGTGATCCACGGTGTAAATAGGTTGTACACACTGCTGTGTTGTTTAGGTTTAGATTTTTAAAATATCAAATGATATATTCAATCTTGGATTAAAAGTCTAACTCCCCCATAATGAGCCATTACCTGCCATGCCCGAAGAAGACTGATTTTTTTCCTCTGATTTGGTGTGGAGGCCCCAGGCTTTCAGGTGCAGTCACTCTCTTTGGTGATCCCAATAATCTGAAAGACAAAGTCAACTCAAGGGAGGTGGGGAATGCAGAGGTGAGGTGCAAGTACAAAGTCTAGGCTCTCTGCTTCAGGAGGACATGCGCATGCATCAGAAAAAAAGGCTCTTGGGAGAGGCAAGGCTTCCTTTGGAGACAGGCCTCCAAGGACAAATCATGCCAAATATCAAAACCAACACTTCTTTTTTCTCAGAGGACTTGGAACCTTCAGTGAAGGCAGCCAGCCATAGAGAAGAGGACCTGAGAAAGGAGTCACAGGCAGGAAGCAGGCACTGTACCTTCTCAGCCTTTAGGTAATACATGAGGGTGAAGAGGCAAAGGGCAGGCACATTAATAAGCTGACATGCACGCAGGGCACCTGAATACCCAGCTGGTGTTGGCGAAGCCCAGGAGATAGTACTGGGTGTCACTGGGTGCTTTTCCTACCTGTAAATAAGGAGTTGGTTCAGTTCTTGTTTCTAGATAGAGATCTCAAAAGTTTCTCTAGGGAGGTAGCCTAGGCCAGTGGAGACTTCCATATGAGATGAATATTATCCAGATTCCAGTTTTGCTATGTCTAACTATGTGACCTGCAGCAAGTCCCTGTACCTCTCTGTGCCTCAGCCTTCTCAACTACAAAACCACAGAATGGTTCAGGAGATATATATACATATATGCATGTATATTACCATGTACCCTGCAATACATATATGTGTGTGTAGTGGCTAGCACACGATATGATTCCAGAGGGCCAGGGTGGAGTTCAGTAGTAGAGCATGTACAAAGCTCTGGGTTCAATCCCAAGCACCAAAAAAAAAAAAAAAAAAAAAAAAAAGAAAGAAAGAAAAATGTTAGTTCTCCCTAAGAAGACCTCAGAGGCACAAAGGAGGCTGTGTCCTCACCCCTGGCTGGCCATCTCCAGAAAAACTAGCTTCATGCTGAGAGAGCAAAGGTCCTGCAAGAAACCTACTCCCACTGGGGGGCAGAGGGGAAGCTCAGATAAAACTCAACAACAAAAAACAAACAACCCAATTAAAAATGAGAACAGGAATGGAATAGACCTTTCTCTAAATGAGATATATAAATGAGGACTAAGCAAATAAAAAGGTGCTTGGTGTCATTGGTCACTGGGAATAACCAATCAAAATTACAATGAGATATCACCTCACACCCATTAAAATGGCTATCATCAAAAAAATCAACAATCCACAAGGTTGGTGGGAAGTGGAAGGATTTAGAACCCCTATGGACTGTTGGTGTGGATGTAAAAAGTGCATCTGCTATGGAAAAATGGTACAGAGGTGCCATTTTAAAATGAAGTTACCATGTACCCTGCAATTCCACTTCTGGGTATAACTTCAAAAAATTGAAAGCAGGGTGAGATCACTTGTGCACCCACATTTACAGCAGCATTATTCATAGCAGCCAAAAAGGTGGAACTGACCCTCTGGCTGGATACTGCACCCAGGTGCTAAGGCTACAGAGATGAACAAAATAGATGAAAATAGAACCCTTACTCTTTGGTGGGTGGGGGGAGAGACAATAAACAAGAAGACAAGGAAGGCACAGAATTCCAGACAGAGATATGTACTAATGATGATGATAAGTAATAGTGATAGTGCTAAGAAAATAAAATACCTTTGGGCAGGAGTATGTTTGCTATTTTAGATAGGGAGCTCAAGAAGGGGTCTCCAAACAGGGACAGTGAATATGCAGTTTGCCATGCAAAAATATGGGGTCCAGGCAGACAGAATAGCAAATAAGTGCTGAAGTAGGAACTCTGCTGAAAGGTTTGAGGAAGTAGAAGGGCTATTTGGCTGGACTATGGTTTTTAGTTTCAGTTTCGTTTGTTGGTTTGTTTAAGAGGTGGTAGGGGATACAGTCAGAGTTGAGTGGGGTCCAACCAAGCTGACCTTATAGGGAAGGGGCAAAACTTTTATCCTAAGCCTAGCAAAAAGCCACTGGAGCCTCTTAAGTAGAAGAGTAGTACTGAAAGGTTCCCAGTGTCACTGCAGACTCAGAGATGCTCAGCCTGAGATTGTCAAATTGAGGACCAGAAACATCTTGATTTGGATCAAAAGCTTCCATTTAAATGCTTCCTGGCGCCCTATGCATTTTTCAGTATTCCCAGGCCTCTCCACTCCCTATGTCTTGCTTGGCTCAGGAGAAATATTTCTATCACATGTCTTGGCCGTTCAATAGCCACTTTAGTAATCTGGGTTCCCAATTCCAAATCATCCACTTCTTCTAGAGGTTAAGAATAAGAAACTGAGGCCCACAAATGAATCTCCAATACAGGCTCTTCACCCTCAGGCACCCCATCCACAGCAAGAACAACTCACTTTTGTTAGAAACCAACAAAGGATAAAAGTTTTACCCAAGTCCACAGGAAGAGTCATGTGCTTTTAAACTATATATACCACACCAAATGTGTTCTATTTTTGACATAAACATAATTTCATCTTAATGCATCCAAATGCTATTTTATAAAGTTTTCACTTTATTATTTCCTAAGCCTCTTTCCACAGTCAGCCCCATAATGGTCACAGGAACAACTAGACATTTCTTTGTGTAGCTACGCCATTGTCTGCTGCCCTTTTGTGCTCATTTAGGTTACTCTCCTCTCCCCACCCCAGAACTGTACCTAGCAGTATTAGAAGTCTGTATGATTTATACACGTTTCTTTTCATGTCTTTCCTTTGGCTGAGGTTTCCAGAGATTAAAGTTTACAGAAGCTGTTATTTTCAGAGATTACTGGTTAGGAAGATCCCGCCCCCCAGCCCCCCCCCCCATTAATTACCACAATGTTTTTGAAAGCACAGCCAAACTACAGCGGTTCCGTGGCGCTTCCGTAAACGATGGCACCCTTCGTGAACGGTGCTCTCGGGTTCCCTGCTCCCTTATTAGTAATATGAGGATAATGCGGTCACCTACTTTACAGGGCTGAGGGCACATTAACGAGATCATTCGTGTGAAGCACTGTGCCTGGCATGCGGTGGCGCCCAGGGAGAGGTAAGAGATCATATTTTCCAGCCGGTCCAGGACCCGGAGTGCCAGGAACCACGGGGACACACATCTACAGTCTAGCTGGCAAGTTGTAAGCCAGAGACCTCTATGGCCTGCAGTCCCTCCCCAGCCCCCAGGTCCCTGGCCGGTGGGCACTCACTCTCTGGCCAGCGCGCCCTGGTAAGCGGCTGAAGGGCTCGCACATGTGCGTCCGTGAAAGGACACTCCGTATCCGCGCCAGCTTCCAGCTACCCAACCTTGCACTCGCACGCCCCACTCGCTGTACCGCCGCGGCTGCGCTCTGGAACCCCGAGCCACCCGCCAATGCGGCTTGGAGGCGCCCCGCCCTCTCCCTGAGGCCCCGCTCCAAGAGCAAGCTCCGCCCCACAGCCCCCTTGCCCCCACAGCAAGCTCCACCCCACCCCTCCCGCCCCTCGCCCCCCCACAAGCTCCACCCCACCCCGCACGCCGCCCCGCCCCCAAACAAGCACCACCCTGCACGCTGCCCCGCCCCTCTGATAATAAGGAGGCGCGCCTTGGCTCTGCGCTGTTGCAGGCTGGACTTGGAGGCGGTGCTCCACCAAGCAGTGGAGGAGCCCTCCTCTAGCAAGCCTGGTGTGTATCCAGGTTAAAACAAAGGAGGATCTGTAACATGCTGCTTAGCAATAAAAAAGAATGAGCTGTGGATCCACTCTGCTTGATCTCCATGGAATTACACTGAGTGAAAAAAGCCAATCCCAAAAGGTTACCTACTGTATGATTCCATTTCTTGAAAGGTCGAATTATAGAAATGAAGAGCAGATTAGTGGTTGCCAGGAGTTAGGGAGGGAAGTGGCTGTGGCTATAAAAAGGATCATTTACTGATGTAAATGATCTCTCTGGCTGTATCTGTGTCGATTGTCTGTTTTGGTGTGTGGGGTAGTTTTGCTAGTTTGTTGGGGAAAGCTAGATAAAAGGTGTATGGGTTAAAAAAAAAAAGAAAAGAAAGAAAAAGAAATTTAATTGACACAATTAAATTCAGGGCTAAAGGACACCCCCAAGAAAGTGGAAAGAGCCTATTAGTTGGTGGGAGGGAGTTTAGAGGGTACTGGTGAGCAGTTTGGGTTAATTGTCTCTTTTTTCAGCCTTTTTCTGCTGCCACCTTATTTGGTAGCCCACCTGCCATTGTGGCCCCTCCCAAGGGCCCTGGCCCTCTCCAAGCTTGTTTTTTGGTGTCCTGGGATGGTCTATTCATGCTTAGAGCAGAGAGAATCTTTTGCCTGCATTTATAATGTTCCTAGTGAAACTTGCTGTTGATTGTACTCCATGTCAGTTCTTGGTTCTTTCCTGCTTAGATTTAAGGCTTTGGGTTTTAGATTTCTTTCAAGTTTTTACCTACAGTGAAACATCACAGTGTTGAGTCAGGCTGGTCTGTGTGCTGCTGCTGTGAATTCCTGATATTCAGAGGTGGGAATATGGCCTGAGATGCCCTCATAACTCTGTGCTCCCCAGCCAGAAAACCGGACATCCTTGTCTTGTGAGCCCAAATCCTAGAGGTCATCTTCATTTTGGAATAGAAAAGCAAGTGTAGGGAGCTTTACTACCTGCTCCTTGGTCATGCATGACTGTGGTACAGCACCGCCACCTTGTGGTAGATAGGAGAAATCACAGATGTGGACTGAGCCAGCAGCTTTCTGCTTGGGACTGGAAGCTGGAATGCCTACAATCCCTGGGTTTTTTGAACTTTGTAAATTGAATGGTGGTTGACTCTAGGACAATTTAGTAGAAGGCCGTTTTGAAAAGGAAAGAAAATAACTTCCTTCTAATCTGGTATCATTGCAATTATTGCCAAAATGTGAGATGTGACCTTTTTGTATTCTGAGTTTTAGGAGGATGTCTATGCTCTCAAACTGAGATTAGAGTTAGCATCAATGACAAGCATCACCTCTAGGGGCTTGAAGATTTCCGTTTTTTCATTTCATCTTTAAGTTGAAGAAATGCAAAAATAGGATTAGGTATTTTAGGCAAGGAGGCAGATAATCCAGTTATACATTTCCTCTTCTCAACTCCCCATATTTTATTTAAGAATAAAATGGAACATAGTGAAACTACCTTAAGACCAAGCAAATTAGCTAAGCTATCAAAAAGCTGGTAATTTTTGGATTTCATTTAATGATAGCTCTTGCCCTCCTGTTAACAGCATCCACTTTCCTTTGGGAAACTGATTTTTTTTTTTAATAGCATGTGTGTGTGTGTGTGTGTGTGTGTGTGCCTGTGAGATGTTATTTGCCATTTACCATTTTAAAGTGTGCAATTCAGTGGCACTGATTACGTGCACAGTATTGTACAACCATTATGACCATTTATTTCCAAAAACTTTTCATCACACCTAAAAAAAACTATGTTCCCATTTGCTATCCTAGGGATCTTGAATGTCCTCCAAAGGCACACATGTTGAAGGCTTAGTCCCCAGCCCATGGTGTACTGGGAGGTGGTAGAATCTTTAGGAGATTGGGTCTAGGTGAAGGAAGTTAGGTATTGGAGGCATGCCCTTGAAGGGATATTAGTACCCTGATCCCATCCCCTTCCTCTCTATTTCCCCACTACAGTGAGGTGAACAGCCACTCCCCCTCATGATCACTGCCATGATATGCTGCCTTGACATAGGCCCAAAAGTAAGAAAGCCAATCAACTGTGGACTGAGACTTCTGAAACCATGAGCCAAAATAAACATTTCCTTCTTCAAGTTGATTTATCTCAGGTGTTTTGTCACAGTGATAGAACACTAACACACTGTTTAACAATAACTTCCCACTCTCCCCTCCTCCCAACTGTAGGAGTCCAGCTCTGGCAGGGGGTCTCAGGAGACAAATGGATGGTGAGGAGTCACCTAAAGGAGGTGGAGAAACAACACAGACACAAAAGTGAAGGTGCTGAATCCCAATCTTTACTTGTGAAGTTAATCATATATACTTTGCATTTTGGCAGGCTCACAGAATTTTGTGGTTACAAAACAGGAATCATTATTCAAAGAAACAAAATATTACTTAGCTACAACTAGATAAGAAGAATGTATCTTGGCCTATGCATAAGCAAGCATTTTTACTTTCAGTTCCCGTTTTGCTTTGAGCTGTTTCTGCTTAGTTAGCTTTCAATAATAGTTAGAAATGTCCCAGACTACTGGCCTGTACCTTGACTATTTTTTCTTGACTTACTGACTAGAACCGGCACCATGGTTATGGTAAGTGGTTCACTTGAAAAGAGAGGCTACTAATTTTAATCAAACAAGAGCAAGAGCACAAACTATTGTGCACAGGAACAAGAACAAGTTGCCCAGTACTAAGCACTAATCTTTCTTCATAATATTAATTCTTCTTCTCTAGATTTAATTTAATTTCTCAAAAACTTCCTTGACTGTTTTTCCTACAGGGGATTTCTCATTAAACATTAACAATTTACATTCCACAGCTGAATCATTGCATTTAGAGCAAACAGATTTATTCTTTAGAAGTAGTTGCATTAATTGGGAAAGTCACGTTTTTTTCCTTCATACTTAATGGTCATATGAGAAGTCGCAACTATACTTATTAAAAGAATACAAAAACAAACCAGCCAATTCCTAGAAGCATACTGCACTCCTCCAGAGAATGAACGCCTTGTGCCTTCCACCTGAGTAGGGCCTTGCCATTGCCTGAGTCAGGGGAGGGGCGCAGCACCCATCCACTGGAAACTTAATAAATTTGTCTATCATATATATTCCATATAATAGGGGTTCTTTTCACTTAGCTTACTTCCCTTGAAAACCGTGTTGTCAGGCTTCACCCATGTTGTAGCATACACCAGAGCTTCATTCTTTTCTCTGGATGAATAATATAAAAAGCGCATACCACATTTTATTTATCCATTCATCCATTGACAGACACTTAGGTTGTTTGAGTATTGTGAATAGTGCTTCAAAGATAATTTTTATACAAGTATCTGGTTGAGTCCCTTGTTTGGGCCTTTTGGGGTATATAAATAAGAGTAGAATTATAGGGTCATATGCTTAATTCAGCATATAGCTTTTTGAGGAGCAGTGACTACACCACTTTACGTTTCTACCAGCAGTATACAAGGGTTCTGATTTTTCCGCATCTTCATCAACAATTTTATGTTCCTCTTTTTTCCAAATATAGCCATCCTAAAAGATGAGAGAAGAGGTATCTCATTGTAGTTGTTTTTTGTTTTTGTTGTTTGGTGCTGGGGATTGAATCCAGAGCCTCAAGCCTGCTAAGCAGATATTCTACCACTGAGCTGCATCCTCAACCCCTCATTGTGTTTTTGATTTACACTTTCCTAATAACTAATGATATTGACTATCTTTTCTTATTGACTATTCATATTCCTTCTTTGGAGAAATATCTATTCAAGTCCCTGGCTCATTGTTGAATCAGGTTGGTTGTCTATAAATTGTTCATTTGTAGAACTTCCTTATGTATTCTGGATATTATCAATTTACAAAGAGGAAAATTTGATTTTGGCTAAGAGTTTTAGAGGTTTTAGTCCATAATTAGTTGACCTGTTGCTTTGGGTGAGCAAGCACAACATGGTGGAAATGTGTGGTAGAGCAAAAGTGTTCACCTTGTGGCTGAGAAGTGAAGAGGAATGATAAGAGACTAGGGTCCCACAGTCCCTTTCTGTGGTACACCCTCAGTGACCTGAACATTCTCCACTGGGTCACACCTCTTAATCTTCTACCATCTCCTAGTAGCACTGTTCTGAGGACCAAGCCTTTTACACATGGGTTTTGGTGGGGCATTTAAAATTCAAACTATATCAATAGCCTTTGACACATACAAGTTTTTAATTTTAATTAAATCCAATTTATCAAATTTTTTTGTTGTTGTTCTGTTACCGCTGTTGACTGGTGACGAGTCCTTGCTTCCCCAATGTTGAAGAATAACACCAAAGAAGCACGCCGAGGCAAGGTCAGAGTAGAAATTAGAAGTTTATTAAAGGACAGCAGAAAAGACTTCTCCCGGAGGAAGAAGGGGACCCAAGAGATGGAATCCGTGGAAGGGATGTTGTCTCCCCTTTTTATAGTTCTTTCAGTGATGGAATGTAGGTGGGAAGGACCAAGGGGTGGGACACAGGTGGGCCAAAGAAGTAATCTGGTCAGGAAGGACTTCTGAGTCAGCACCTTTTTGCTGGGGGATGTTCATTAACATTTCTTTGAGGTGGACTTTGGCCTAGGGCCTTTTTGGGGACTTCCATGAGTTGTCCTGTGTTTTCCCTGAGTCATTCTCCGCATGGTCTCCATTTTAGATTTCACTCGATATTAGACCCGATTTATCTAA